ATGACAGCGATTTTCATTTCCAAGACATCTCCGACGCCATTTTTTCAACTGTATAGTATTTATATTTAAAAAATGGAATTAGTTACAAACAATTTTAATAATTATTGAATCAAACATCATAAGCTTTTAAAAATAAAGTGGAATTATTGTACTTTTAAATACTTCAAAATTAAAAGACAAATTATTTTTACACCTAATAATGTTCCTATATTAGAGCAGCCTTTAAAATATTTCATTCCAGAAGAATAAGCTCTAATTAAAAATTTCTCGCTTCCGAAAATGACTCACGGAAAATATTGTTTTAAGCTGCACGGAGGGGCATTATAAATATATTTTAATTCTATTTATAAATGTAGCATTATTGCCTTTAATAATAAAGAAGTTTTTTTTTTTATTTATTTATTATTTGAATTATTTTTAGGAAATACCAAACTTTAAAATTTGAATTTATTAAATAGGTAAAAAAATATGCTTTACTCCATAAGATCAGATTAAATAAATGCAAAACAGAAATTATCATTGATTGTCATTTCAAAGGTTATTATGACGGTGATTTTTTTCGATTATAGAGTATATATTTATAGGTTAGGCTTAACATTAAAGGCAACATATACCTCTTTCTAAGGTTGACCAATACAATAGCAAAGAAAGATAAGAATTAAAGATTGAGAATCCCAGAATCTACATATCTACATAATATAAAATGCTAATGTTTATCTGTGTCGTCTCTACTGAAGTAACGACTTGCTCTGGAAAGTTGCTTTTTTTACTAAAAGATAGCTAATTGGCTCTTCTAAAAACTGTCGTCGCCGGATTTTTTGTTTTTCATTTAATTAAAAAAAATAAAAAGTATTTTTTTCCTGATGTCGTGGCTGATCAACTAGTCAGAGATACAGATCTGGGCTTATTATTTTTTTACCATCATATTCAACGCTAAATTAACAGGCTCTTTAAAGTGATTTAAATACAATATGTACAATTAACTCAAATAAGAAATGTAAAAATAAATTACAGTAAGATCCATGAAAGAAGCATGTTTATAGTAATTATTTTTTTATGAAACCATTAGGTAGTTATTAATTTTAATAGACATTATAAGACTGTAATTAGGTTTTTACTCTGCTAATGAACCGTCAAGGCGAACAATTGTTATTTGAATTTCAACAGGTTTAAGAATATCTTCTGTAAAATCATACTCTTATAAACTTTATTGGTTTTTACTTTCTAACATCTGCCTCAACATCATTAAATCCAACCATAAAATAATAATCTTCTTAATGTTTATCATATCACTCTTACAATTCTATTAGCGTTCTCCCGAAAGACTAACTGTTTTTTAAATAACAAATATTGTAATATTTTAGAGGCGTTTCCATCCTCTGGAATTTGAGATTGAGAAACCCCTCCTTATCGAACCTCTACACTTCACAGCCAATCCGTTTGCCAAACGCAGCTTTAAACGTCAAACATGTAAGCAGAATCGTGATTAATTAATGGTCATATTTTATGAAACACTTATAAAAATTTTTAAAATATCTTAAAATATGTAAAACAACAAAATAAAATATACGTGTTTAAGAGTTTTTCCGGAAAACTCACCGGTTTTTAAATTAAAAAAAAAATATTATGATATTTGGGGGTTACACTCTTTGTAAATAGATTGAAAATCCCTTCTTATCGAACCCTACACCCTAAAGTCAATCCATTTTCCAAAATCAGCTTTTACGTCAAGCGCTTTAAGCAGGATCGTGATTAATCAATGACTAGATTTTTCAAAGCACCCTGTATATTATTTTTAAAAAATCTTAAAATATGTAAAAAACAAAATAAAATATACGTGTTTAAGCGTTTCTTCGAAACTTGATCGTTTTTAAATAAAATATTGTAATATTTAAGGGGTGGTTTCACCTCTTGGAACGGAATTTCGAAAACCCTTCTTATCGAAACTCTATACCCTAGAATCAACCTGTGCTAAAATTGAGCTTCTTACGTTGAGTGGTTTGAGCAGGATCGTGATTAATCAGTATGTCAGTTACTTAAGGATTTTATATATTAGTATAGATTAGTGTAAATATCTATTTACACTAATATACATGGCACATCTGTACCACCTATGGAAACCGAGCTAAATAACTAACAAAAAATTAACCGGTCAAAATCACCGGTCGAATATCATCCTTTTACCGGATTACAATATTACGAATTCATCGGCCCGTTCGTATGACGCCTCAGGACGAATCGCTCGTAAAAAGCACCGCGGCCCCAATTTTTCGGAGGGTAGTGGAAGCAGGCAGTGGTCTCAATGCCCTCTCGCCCCCTACTTTTAGTCGCACGAGCCCGAGGTGCCCGAGGGCAGTGGCGCTAGTCAGTCTCCACACACCGCACAGTTGCCAAATGGATAAAATTATCTCTAAACCTAAACGAATATTCAATCCTGAGAATACAAGACATGAAAATTCGTATACAAATAAACCTTTTTTAGATGGCATCTGTTCGTTCAATTCCACCTGCACTATTCGGTCCACTATCGATCTGTTAAAAGTACTGTATAATTTTAAAAAGTATCACTTTCAAGCTGGATTTTAACAATGACGATAAAACCAATTCTACTGTAACTTAATAATACCCATAACTTTTTCAGATAAAAAGCGATATTTGATATGTTAGTATATGACATAAATTAGATTGATTGACGTATTCAATTGTTTTTCTCACTTCCTGATTCACCGGAAATGACTACATATCAAGGAGACTTATAATCAAGGAGCCTTGGAAAATAGATTTGATTCGTCTAATGTTTTTAGTGTCTTGTCTTGGCCCGTTAAAAGATAAATCTAAATCATTTTTTAATCCTATCTCAATTTTTTCAAATGGAACGAGAGAAACCATATTCGAAATGTCAAAAGTTGACATATTATATGTCATTCTACCCAGAGTGTCATTTTTATGGAATAAAGCAACAAAAATAACGAGGGTGCGCATTTACAAATCAAAAGTTGTAATCATCTTCGATGAACAGGAAGTGACCGAAACAATATACGTCAATCAATCGTAATTTCTGTCATCTACTAACATACCAAATCTCGTTTTGTAATCTGAAAAAGAAAAGTTATAGGGTGAGCCACTTTAAGACGCACCCGATATAGACGATCGAAAAAAATTGTTAACTGAATTAAATCTAAAGAAATCAATTTCTATTTTATTTATGCTAATAAAAAGAATTATACTTTCCTTAATATAAACGTTTAAAGGGTATTGCTTTATATATAATCCAAATAAATAAAACATTTTATATAAATATTAATAAATATTCAATTATCAGCTGCCAAAATTTAATTGTTTTACAAATAACATTCTATAAATTTTTGAGGTAAGTCAAATATATTTTATACAGGAGACGAGTTAAAAATTAAACACCTGGCAACATTGGCGCAAAATTCCCGAATCAATACGGGGTCTCACACGGTTTGTATCGCGCAATTCTGAATTTTGACATTTCTATTGCCGAAGAAACAGCAAAATATGAGAAAACTTCCAAGAAAATTACTTAATTTTTGTATATTTATCTTAATTTTGAAGATATTTAAAATTTTTTTTTTTTTTTTTTTTTTTTTATATTTTAAATAAAATGCCGCGTAAAAAATATCTCAGGAACTTTTACTAATTCGATAAATATTATATGTATTATCGCAAAATATTAAATATAGGTATTACTGTGTTAAATATATTTAATGTTTGATGCCCCATAACAAGAGAAAAACAAATAAACTGTCTGTCACGCGCGCTTACCTAAAAAGTCACATTTCTAAAATATGTAAAATATACGTTATTCAAATGAAGTTAGATTTTTATTTTTAAGATGTCTTGAAAGAGAATCGAACTTTGAAATAGTTTCTCGAAAAATTTGGATGTGTTTCGATCAAAAAGAGCGCCCAAAGTTAATATTTGCTTACAGTCATAGTAAAAAACTCAAATATTATGTCCCTTCTAATAAAAGAGCAATACAATATACAGATGGGGAGCAGAAAATGTAAATAAATTTGGTGAAGTAAAATATAAAATAAATCTATAGAGTGAGCAGGCGCACTTGCTAGAAGCCATGTTTCCCAAAAATTGACAAATTTACGCTATTTGGACGTTTAAAATTTATTTTTAAAGCGTGTTCCAAGACAATCTGAAATGATTACTACCGCAAAATACTGCTTTTAGACAAAAAAAGGTTTGTTTATATTCAGTGATGCGCAATAGTTTTCGTTTTCAGTCAAGCCTAGGTTAAAAAACTTAATTAATTATAATACAGGTACTTCTTATAATTAAATACAGGTACTTCTAATAGAAAAATCCATTAAAAATAAAGCACAAAATATTTATTTTATAATATTCCATTTTAAGATAAAGAAAACATTAAATGTGTACGGAAAGAAATAAATAGACCTATATCGAGAGCACATACTAGAACCATATTTCAAGAAAAAATGTCAAAATTCCCGTTATTTCAACTGATTAAAATTTATTTTGGGATGTTTTAAAGAAAATTCTGGTTTTAATTTTTTTAAAAAAAAAAAAATCCGTGTTTTCCAAAAAAGAATTGGGTTTGTTTTCAATTTCAAGAGGAGTCAACGCAAAGGTTTTATTCGTTTTCAGTCACGCCTATGTTAAAAAACTTAAATACCGGTACTTCTAATAGAAAAATCCAGTAAAATAAGGCCAAAGAAATGTTATTTTTACAATATTCCATTTGAAGACAAGAAAACATTAAATGTTTTGGGGAAAAAATAATATAGCAAGCGCACTTGCGAGGAACCATATTTCAGAAAAAAATGTCAAATTAGCGTTATTTCAAGGATTAGAATTTATTTTGTGATGTTTTAATAGAAAATTCAAGTTCTTAGATATCCGGGAAATCGTGTTCTTCAAAAAATTAGGTTTGTTTTCATTCAAAGATTTTATTCGTTTCCAGTCACGCCTAGGTTAAGAAAACTCAAAGCAAAGGTACTTACTAATAGAAAAACTCCGTGGAGTAAGCACAAGGAAGATTTACTGTTTCCTATATTATTTCAGATAAAACAGAAAAAACAACACTACAACACTTTCAAAAATCAAAATCCTGCGTTTAGATGAAGGAACGACAACAAACAGTCCATTCAGGTTTGAAGCAGAAAAATCCGTGCGCTGTTGTCGGACCCTTTTTTTCTCTACCCTCTATCCTCACCACTCTACTGTCACTCACAGAACACAATTTGACGACATTTCGGTTCTGATCTGGACCCGCGTCGCATCGATACTACGGGCGCGATGAGGTTTTACGCGCATTCGGGAATCGCTGCCGGCCGCGTTGCCAGATTGGCCGCCGCCGGCCGAGGAGGTGAGATCAAAAAGATGTAAAGCCGGCGATGCACGCGTTTGTTTTGATTCGGTTCGTGGGTGATGCGACGGTGAGAACAAGGCGCTTTAACTACTGTACGATTAAAAAGATGAGGCGCGGATGTATTGCCGATTAGATAGATGCTGCTACCTTGCTTTACGTATGTTGAAGATTAAAAGCAGTCCGCCAGTTATTGTTTAATTCTTCTGTGTGCTAGGGTAGGTTCTGTTTATATAGCAATCGATACAATTTAACCAATTTTTTTACAGAAACACATCCAAGTGATCGTATTTGAAAACTTTTGATGAGTTTCTATGAAATGAAATACTATTGTTCATCTATTGATGTCCACCAGGGCAGGGACAGGTGAAAATAATTCATAGTAGAACATTCGCAAAAATTCACGACAGACCTGTTAATCACGCGACCTTACTATTGTTTGTTCCCCTTCCTTGAGTTATAGCGAGTTATAACTCATCATACAATCTCGGGCTTTAACAAAAGCCAGTATCTGAGACAGTTCCACGAGGAGCCAGTTCTCCATCCTCGATATCAGCTGTACCAAAGTTCATGGCACGAACGGTCGTCGTCTCCGAGGAATCACAGAAGCACAGAATCTGCATTCTGTTGTTCCTCAGCTTCAGCGTTGAGGAGACAGTGTTCTCATAGAAATCCTGTAATCCAGATATTGTTTTACTTAAATTAACAAAAATCTTTGATTTTTTCTCAGTCGTAAGTTCTGAGAACTTTCGAATGTTTAAGACCGTTGGAGGACTCCTATTTGAGTTACGGATGGAGTCTTCCGGGTTCCTCAGTTTTGCCTTTTAATTGGTTTCCTTTGGAAAACAGAACGGTACTGGTCCAGTTAGTAGAGTGATCGCTCTTGGTGAGCAGACATCCAGAGTAGGAGGAATTTGAGGAGTCTGACTTAAATGTGCGATTCTTTGTACTAGGCAATGATAGGCTATTGACAAAACTATAACTAACTATATGTAGAGTTCAAAGTGTTTAGACCTTTTGAAAAGAATAGGACTGGAAAATCTAACTGTAAAGATCAGAAGGGTGCCATATAGATCTGAAAAGGTGGCAGTCTAATCTATTGACATCCAACATGCAAATATGTGTACCCAATTACAAAAGGCGTTTTGCACTACGAAAGGCACTCTGCTCTTTATAGCATCTCTACACAATGGGCCATTTTTTTTTTAATCAAAAGCAGTATACGTGTTCGATTGGGAATACTGGTCGACAATACAATACTGGCCGACTATCATACACTACTCATCGGTTGACATGGCATTATATTACTCATCATGTGGATGAATTTACAGTGATTGTAATGAAGTGGCCATAATGGCCATCGTCATGAATTGCCCGTTGTGTGCCTAAGGGTACGTTTATGTTGGAGCTGCGATAAACGATAAAAGCAGTGAATTGGCGCTGCTCTTATCGTTGCTCAACTGCCAACCGTGTCTCGACGCGTTGCTCCAATATAAACACCTACATATAAATTAATATAATAATATTATTTCCTTCGCTACTATCGCTGCTCTTATCGTTTATCGCCGCTCCAACATAAACGCACCCTAACGCTTTATGCAGCTGTACGCGCTAGAATCACTCTTAATCTTGAAGTTCTCAATCAACCTCTTCAGACAGAACAGTTTCTGATTATTGATGAATTGAAGAATCTGACCATTGGGATTATAATGAAGCGCTGAATTACTTTTTTAATGGGGGATATATTGAGATTTCCCCAAAAATACACTGTAAGACTTTGTTTTAGAACACTATGAGTTTTGAACACAATTATTTTGGCGTTGCCTTCACTTGTCTTATAAATTTCAGCCAAATTATCATAAATAAACTTTCAGCCAAAACTAAACGGCAAAAATTAAAATGGTGCCCAACCCAGAGGTGCCTGAAGACCTGAAGCTGACACATAGGCAAATTAAGGGACATGTTTAAAAAATTTCCGGAAAATTCTAAATTTAAGAAAAGCAACGATATCCTTTTGTAGGAGGCCATGCTTTCTGCGTAGCGAGGACTTTTTTTACCAATTTTCCCGTTCACTGTCACTCCCATGATTGTAAGCCTTTCAATTGAGCGTTGGAACTTTTGGTGTTACAACAGCAAAATAAAACACTAATTTCACCACAATACACCAAACCATTTTACTTTTGCACTGGCCGCGCGTTTCGCTAACCATGTTAGCATCATTAGCATATGATTAAAACTAATGCCGGGTCCAGACCAAGCAGACAAAAAACGACAGAAACATTCATGTTTTACGACAAAATTGCGACAAATGCAATACATTTCTGCGACATTTTTGTCTCATTTTTGTTTTGTTTCAAAATTCGGAGACTTTTCAATGTCCCGTCTCGAGTCGGTAAAGATCAAAGTCTCTATGTTTTGTTCGTATATTTTACGACATGTTGTCGGCACAGTGTGATTGGCGTGTGCTGCCAACAGTAGAAACCCAGTGAAATCACACATGGTTACAGTACGTTTGTCCGTTCTGTAGCTACGGGGTATCGGTGAGAGGGGAAACGATATTCTCTCGATGTTTTTCGTACAGATTTACAGATTTTAGAGGGCCTGACCACCCTCTGTATACGCCACTGAGGCAATGATGAGGAGAGACAAAGAGCTACAAGTCTCCTTCAAGTTATTAGATAACTGAATAAGTGGATTAGATCTGGAGCATATATCATAGATATCAGAAAATTACTATAAAAGATCTGTAAAGTTGTCACACTGGAGCAAGCCATCTGAAATGTTTAATCTAAATATAATGCTCAAATCTTTCGCAGAAAAAAAAAACAAGACATAGGTATATGCGTATGCATTTGATGCTCTCCCATTATTTCTTCTTTACATTAAATCATCATCCGAAACAAGCAAGGTTAAGTTAATATACAAAATAGGCACTGCCGCCGTTTTTTTAATAAACAATATCCCAAATTAGAGTTAAACTTAGTTCTCCGAATCAATTTCTTCTAACGCGCGCCAAAAGCGAGCCCTTTTTTAGGCATTCCCTATAATACTCACCTTCTCTCCCAGTTCTGTTCGCCTGATACTGAAGAGCCCTTTTCAGACTGAGCCCAAACGGCGGCCAATTACGTAACAAGGTAGGGGATGGAAGTCGCGTCGAGCCCTTTCGGTTGGATTCGTCACGAGACCCCGACTATTTCTTGGCTGACGTCGGAGGGACCGCTGTTTAAAGGGATTATCGAGCAGAGTTGCCAGATGCCAGCCACAAGGTTCCCTAGTTTTAAGGATTAGGTAGTTTCGACCAGGGATCTGGGATAGGCAATATTTTTTTATAGAGACCAGCTAAGAGATATTTTTGCATTTAGTTTTTAATGCTAATATAAATAGCATTACCTTTTGAAACGTATTTTGCAATCAAAATAAGTTTATTGGACAAAATTTACCTCTATACAAAAGTGCTTTTTATTAGCTGTAAAAAGCACAGCCAACACCTTCGTCAGATTTCGAGCCATCTCTGTAAAAACAAATATAGTCACGATATTTTTCGTCTAAAGTTTGTATTAGACTAGTTTTGTAAAGAGATCTGGATGTTTCAGATTTTTTTAATTTACAAAGTTCAATATTAACTGAAATAGGATCCTTCCATGGAGGGGACAGTGTGTCGGAAAAAGTGGAATACAGGGATATTAGGATTGTTTTGTTGGGAGGAAAATAGGTGGTATCTTATATTATTGGGCGTTGGTATTTTGGATGAACGGTATACGTGAACTCTGCCATAGACAATCAAAAAAGGCTTTGACTTAATGGATATTCCATAATTAAGAGTATGGAGAATTCCCCTGTGAAGGGTATTATGAAATAAATATACTTCGTCTTGTGATTCACTATTTATTAATTTATTGTTTCAATCTAAGGTCTAGCCAAAATTTCTTCTATTTTTATTTTCTGTTCCCTTGTGAGTGTAATCATATCCTCGCACTTCGGCTGGCTTATAATAGCGCTACAGAACTCCCTGTGAATTCGCACCCCGTCCAAAGCCTTTGTCTGCAGCAGCTCGTGATGTTTGATTTCTTTGACGAATTGGGCCCGTTGTTTAGCCCCAGCTTTTCTATACCTCTGACGGCATAAGACCACTGAAATAAAATTAAGTTACAAGAAATTCACAAACGCTCGCAAAGTAGGGACACAATGTTTCGTTTACATCTTCATCAGGGAAGGATTTGATATGCAGTGGGCGCATCTCATTCAGCCTCGATTGATTATACAAAACGGACAGATGTAGAAACAACATTTTTAAAGGTATATGTGCTTAATTTAAAATTATTTTCAAATGTACAGGGTGTGTCAAAATGTCAGAGTGTGTATTTAAATATGCATGCTATAATAAAAAGTTTTCAACACTCCGTACATTACTTTTAAGTCAGAGTTAATTTTGTACTGACTTTGAAGCCAGAAAAAAATAAACTTTACTAAAAATTTTATTGCTTTCTTAAATGTATATTAGGGGTATCAAAATTGCTGCTCAATTTTAAATATTTATTTTATAAAAACTTCTGTTATTTCAAATACAACATTATGTATTTTTTTAAATAAGTCGAAGCAGATTTAAATGCTCTTTCAAACTATATTAGGGTTTCTTATACCTATCTGGCTCAGATTTTGAATAAAAAGCGATTTTTCCATAAA